TCTAAAAAGAACCCGCCGAGAGAAAACGATCCGTCCAAAAATCAGCCGAAACGACTTCGATGTGACCGAGCTAGAGAGGTTTGAAGTTTGGCTGGAATAACCCAAATAGTTGTTGAATTCGGCACAGCTCCGCGCCCGGCTTGTCCCACGCGGACTCGCCCGTGACGCGGTGCACGAAGTAGGGCAGGCCGGAGTGCTCGTCGAACTTCTCCTCCCAGGGGTCGTCGTCGTCGCCGGCGGCCAGCGGGTACGGCGGCGTCTCCGGGGGCGGCTCCTCGGGCGCCGCGGCCTTCGCGGGCCCCCGCGGGTCCTCGCTCTCGTCCGCGGCCGGCGGGGCGATGGTCAGGCCCGGCGCCTCGACGGGGGGCTCCTCGTACTCGAGGCCCTCGATGGGCACGGGCGGCGGCGCCGGCGGCTCCGCCTTGGGCTCCTCCTCGGGCGACGGCGGCGCGTCCGCCTTCGCCGCGGCCGCGGCGGCCGCGCCGGCGTCGACGGCGCCGTCGCGCGACTCCGACGCCTCCTTGGCGACGTCGATCATGGCCTTGGCGCTCGTGGGCGACATGCAGGTGAAGGCCGTCGACCCGCGGTTCGAGCCGCCGCGCGTCAGCGAGTTCGCGCGGCTCGGCGACCTGGGCGGGGAAATTGTGGTTCAACGTGAGCGTTCCGCGCGCGTGCGTTTCAAAGCGAGCATCGACGCTTCGAAAGCGCTCCGAGAGCCGATCGCTCGTCCAAAAATCAGCCGAAACGAGTGGAACACGGCCGAGAGAGGAGCCTTTGAAGTCGGGCGCGTCGCGCGCTCTTCCCGCGCGGCTCGGCGACGGCTCCGCGACGTGGTGGTGCACGTCGTCGTCGGGCACGTGCTTGGCGACGTGGTCGTCGAGGAACTCCATGACGATCTCGTTGGCCTTGGCGTCGGGGCTGTGGGGCAGGTTCGTCGTCGACGTCGCGTACGCGCGCGCGACCGTCGGGTACAGCTCCGCGGCGAGGAGGCGGTTGCCCCCGGCCGTGAGGCGCGTGCGGTCGACCTCGTAGTTGAAGGCGTCCGTGGAGAAGGCCTTGTCGTTGACGTCGACGACGTACAGGAGCGCGTCGCCCGTCGCGTAGTCGGCCACGAGGCGGTGCAAGCGCGCGAACTTCTGGCAGAGCGCTTGCCCCAGGTCCTTGTGGTGCGGCGTCACGATCGGCGACACGTAGACCACGGGCAGCTCCGGGTGCACGCCGCGGAACTCGCGCAGCGCGCGCTTGAAGGTCTCGAAGGGCTGCTCCGGCGCGCGGCCCCACTCGAGGTCCGCCGCGCCGCAGCACCAGACGATGAGCCGCGGCCGCAGCGCGACGACGTGGTGCGCGTACGTGACGAGGTGCTTCGACATGGCGCCGACGAAGCCGCAGTTGACGACGGGCAGGCCGTGCATGTCCTTCTTCAGGGAGTCCCAGTTCTGGAAGGTCTGGCTCCCGACGAAGACGATGGAGCCCGCCGCGGGCTTGGAGCCGAAGACGGACCGCAGCTTGTTCTTGCCCTGGACGGCGGCGACGGCGCCGACGAGCGGCGACACCGCCTGCTTGGCGACGTCGTTCCCCATGGGGCTAAACCGCGGCGCCCAGCCTCTCTCCCGCCACCACCTTTGATTCGCCCCGCACGATTACGATGCATGGTGAAGAAGATACGGCCGCGGGCTATTGGATGATGATGGGGCCGGCGCGGGGCAGGGTCCTCGCCGTGGCGGCCGCCATCGCCGTGGCTCGCTTACGTCGCGGTGACTGTCGCGCCGTCGCAAGCGTCGCTGCGGCTCCAGGCGCTGGGCGGCTCTTGCGGCAGCT